ACTCCTGACCTTGTGATCTACCTGCCTCGGCCTTCCAAAATGCTTGGATTACAAGTGTGAGCCACCACAGCCAACTGGTTTTTTAAATTATATAAACTTTTTTTTTCCTGATTGGCAATATAATCAAGTATCAATTATTTGTCAATCACTTTTTTTTTTTTTTTTTTTTTTTGAGACAGAGTCTCGCTCTGTTGCCCAGGCTGGAGTACAATGACGTGTTCTTGGCTCACTGCAACCTCTGCCTTCCAGGCTCAAGCGATTCTCGTGCCTCGGCCTCCCTAGGACTGGGACTACAGGTGTGTGCCACCATGCCTGGCTAATTTTTGTGGAGATGGGGTTTAGCCATGTTGCTGAGGCTGGTCTTGAACTCCTGGGCTCAACTCCTGCCTTGGCCTCCCAAAGTGAGAGGATTAGAGGTGTGAGCCCACTGCACCTGGCCTCACATTCTTAAAATTATTATGTGTTGACAGTAATTAGCTGCAAATTGAACCTGTGACTACATTAACAAAAATAATCTTTCATGTAGCATATATGGGTAGAGTGACAGGGAAGGCAGGAAGCAAGAAAGAGACAAGAACAGGATAGAGAGAGAGAGACAGAGAGAGAGAATTCTGTACGCTGAAGAGTGTGTTGCTGTTGGCGTCTCTAAGCTCTTGGCCAAGTCCGCAACTAATTATGTGTGTTGCTTTCTCTGGATCCTCAGTGACAATTCGAGCTATGAATAAGAGTTAGAAAGAACAGGACACTGTATTTTCCAGAGCAGAAATATAAACACATGTTTTACAGCCTCAGAGTGAAGCCCCATCACTGAACTCACCCTGTGGAGAATACAATTTGACACCTCCCTCAGGCACAGCCATTACAAGTGGCTGCCATCAATAACCTAATGTTACTCCGAAAATAAGGACCATCAAGTCCTAGGGTTGGGAGGATCTTGGAGGCCATCTTGTCCCTTTTCTGCCTTCTAGCTCTTGAGCAATAAGAGAATTTGGAGCAGTGAGGGATGACAGGGGATGGGGTGGGGAGCTCCTGCCTCTGACTTTGTCTCAAATATCCCAGAAATAAGGATGCAATCTTGGCCACCAAGGTGCTATTAACCTATTCTAGTGTTTAGTTTTATGAACCCCCAGTGCATGGATGAGGGTGATTAATATCATCAAGAGCACACCAGGTGGTGCGGGGCACCATGCCAGGCACTTACAACACATATCACCTCATTGACTACGACAGCGCCATGAGGGCAGGCACTTCATTTTACAGATGAAGAGAGGCACACATAAAAAGGCGAGTAAGTTACTCTAGACTTAGCAAGTGGCAGAGCTGGGGTTCAAACTCGTTTGTCTGAATTTACACCTCAACCTTTTTTTTTGAGATTGGGGTCTATGTTGCTGTGGCTGGTCTTGATCTCCTGGGTTCAAGTGGTCCCCCTGCCTCAGCTTCCCCAGTAGCTGGAACTATAGGTACACACCACCATGCCAAGCTCCCATACTTCCAACTCTTCTGGTATTATTCTGCTCTGCTATTTGCAAGAAATAAAATAGTTACTTTTATGTGCTGTATAATTGGTTTTGACTTAAAAGCCAAAAGACATTTTTCTCAAAAGTAATAAGAAGTTCATAAATAGGGTTGCTGGGTTTAGCAAATAAAAATACAGGGTACCCAGTATAGTCAAATTTCAGATAGACAACAAATAATTTTTTAGTTTGTGTGTCTTAAATATTTTTAGCATAACTATGTCCAAAATATTACATGGGACATACTTAAAACTAAAAAAAAAAATTTATTTGATATTCAAATTTCCTGGTCATCCTGTATCTTAATCTGGCATCTGTATTCACAATGAATGAGACCAAGTTGGTTAGTCCCTTTGTAAGCCACAGTGTTGCTCTGTCCCCTGACTGACGACTCTCTAGTGGGAACCTCTTCATCTAGGGCCTTCTGTAAACACTTCAGTCCCATCCCTCAATGTCATTTTTTCCCCCTGTTCTGAGCTATTTGTGTATTCCAGATTCTACTACTTCCTTGGTTAAGTGTGTGGTAAGTACCTTCTCCCAGTTTGCGTCTAGCCTTTTCACTTTCTTTCCTTTTTTTTTTTTTTTTTTTTTTGAGATGGTGTTTCGCTCTTGTTACCCAGGCTGGAGTGCAACACTTTCTTTTCGTTTCTTTTTTCCTTTTTTTCAGCATCTGATATGGTTTGGCTGTGTCCTCACCCAAATCTCATCTTGAACTCACCTGGAATTCCCACGTGTTATGGGAAGGGCCCGGTGGGAGATAATTGAATCATGGGTGGCGGATCTTTCCCGTGCTGTTCTTGTGATAGTGAATAAATCTCATGAGCCCTGATTGTTTTAAAAGGCGAGTTTCCCTGCACAAGCTCTCTTCCTTCCTCTGTCACCGCGAGATGTGCCTTTCACCTTCCGCCGTGATTGCGAGGCCTCCCCAGCCACGTGGAATTGTAAGGGCTATAAACCTCTTTCTTTTCTAAGTTGCCCAGTACTGGGTGTGTCTTTTTCAGTGGCATGAAAACGGCCTAGTATGACATCCAAAGTGTTTTAATAAGAGGGTAGGCTCAGGGTTTGTTTTTGTAGCACTGCTGGCTGCTGGGGCCACGGCACTGGAAATTTTGGCCCTTGGAACACACGTAGGGTTTGGTGTTGCTGTGCGGGGTGGGGGGTGGGGGGTCCTGGCGTAAATGCCAGTGTCCCTATGGCCCTTTTGCGGACCGGAAAGCAGGATGGTGCCACAGCCCTTGGGGGAGTCCCGGGCCAGCTGCCCCAAGGTGTGGATCTTGCCCCCACCTTGGGGATGTGGGTGGGGCCCGGCTGCCCACCTTTACTCTGGGCATCTCCTCAGGCTGCCCGACCCGCAGTTGTAGGCCTGAAACCACAGCCGTTTCGTTTTCCGGGCCAGGAAGCTTCATCTTCCCAGCAGGATCAGAGATGGCCGGTTGGTGCGACTCATAAAAAGCCTCTTCAGCCGGGCACGGTGGCTCATGCCTGTAATCCCAGCACTTTGGGAGGCCGAGGCGGGTGGATCACGAGGTCAAGAGATCGAGACCATCTTGGTCAACATAGTGAAACCCCGTCTCTACTAAAAATACAAAAAAATTAGCTGGGCATGGTGGCACGTGCCTGTAATCCCAGCTACTCAGGGGGCTGAGGCAGGAGAATTGCCTGAACCCAGGAGGCAGAGGTTGCAGTGAGCCGAGATCGTGCCATTGCACTCCAGCCTGGGTAACAAGAGTGAAACTCCGTCTCAAAAAAGAAAAAAAATAAAACCCCTCTTCAGCATAACCTGGCTGAAAGTGGACAGCTTGACCGCCGTAGGTAGATGTCCTGCAATTGGGCTCCCTGTGCCCAGCCTTTCTGTGCTTTCTGTGGTGGATGTCAACTCCCACGATGGCGCCTCCTGAACTGCCAGGTCAGGAAGAAACCATTTCACTTTCTTTTGTTTTGAGGCGGAGTCTCGCTCTGCTGCCAGGCTGGAGTGCTGTGGCACGATCTTGGCTCACTTCAATCTCTGCCTCACTGGTTCAAGCGATTCTCCTGCTTCAACCTCCCAAGTGGCTGGGATTATAGGCACGTGCCACCACACTCAGCTCATGTTTGTATTTTTAGTGGAGACAGGGTTTCACCATGTTGACCAGGAGGGTCTGGATCTCCTGACCTTGTGATCCACCTTCAGCCTCCCAAAGTGCTGGGATTACAGGTGTGAGCCATTCCACCCAGGCACATTTCACTTTCTTTAACAATCTTTTGATAAACACATTATCTTCATTTGTGGATAAATTTATCAGTGTTTTCCTTTATTATTCACTTATTAATTTTGAGAGAAGGTCTGGCTCTGTTTCCCTGTCTGAAAAGCAGGGGCGTGATGTCAGTCACTCCAGCCTTCACCTCCCAGGTTTAAACAATTCTCCCACTTTAGCCTCCTGAGTAGCTGGGACCGTAGGTGTGCATCACCATGCCCAGCTAATTTTTTGTATGTTTTATAGATAAGTGTCTTTCCACATTGCTCAGGTTGGTCTGGAACTCCTGGCCTCAAGCAAATATATTTTCCTTTATAGTTAGCACTTTTGTGTCCTGTTTAAGAAATTTAGCCGGGCATGGTGGCTCATGCCCTATAATCCCAGCACGTTGGAAGGCTGAGGTTGGCAGATCACTTGAGGCCAGGAGTTCAAGACCAGCCTGGCCAACATAGGGAAACCCTGTCTCCACTAAAAATATTTTAAAAATTAGCTGGGCATGGTGGCGCACGCCTGTAATCCCAGCTGCTTGGGAGGCTGAGGCATGAAAAACAATTGCATCCGGGAGGCAGAAGTGGTAGTGAGCCAAGATCATGCCACTGCACTCCACCTGGGTGACAGAGTGAGACCCTATTAAAAAAAAAATTCTTCCCTATTCTATGAATATAGACGTCTTCTCTTATGATTTCATTATGATTTTTTTGTTTTAATATTTGTATTTAAGTCTTTTTTGTTTTGAGATGGAGTATTGCTCTGTCACCCAGGTTGGAGTACAGTAGTATGGGATCTCAGCTCACTGCAACCTCTGCCTCCCAGGTTCAAGTGATTCTCCTACCTCAACCTCCTGAGTGGCTGGGATTACAAGCACCCAAGACCACACCTGGCTAATTATTTTTGTATTTTTAGTAAAGGTGGGGCTTCACCATGTTGGCCAGGCTGGTCTGGAACTCCTGACCTCAAGTGATCTGCCTGCCTCGGCCTCCCAAAGTGCTGGGATCACAGGCACGAGCCACCATGGCTGGCCGTAAATATGGTCTTTAATCTGCCTAGTATTTATGCTTGTGTGTGATGCGTTGTTGAGTCCTCCATTGTTCCAGCGCTATTTATGAGTGGTCCATCTCCTTGCTGATCAACAGTTAAAAAAAAAAAATCTTAAAAAAATATGGAGCTGAGTTTACAGTGAGCTATGACGGTGACACTGCCCTCCAGCCTGAACAACACAGCGAGACTCTGTCTCTTTAAAAAAAAAAAAAAAAAGAAAGAAGAACTCTTCATGAATTGGAGTGTCCTCCCGGTTAAGGGGCCATGCTAATTTTCTCTGGATAGTTCCAATTTTAGTGTATGTGCCGCTGAAGTGAGCACTAATCAACAATTTTAACATTTCTTTCTGTGACTGTTCCCACTGCTGGACTATAAGCTACTTTTATATCTATATTACTAGAGTGTAGCATGTAGGATTTGCCTCTGAGAGTGGGCTAAATAATTGTTGAACTATGTTTTGTTTTGTTTTTTTTTTTTTTTTGGGTCGCCCAGGCTGGAGTGCAGTGGTGCAATTTTGGCTCACTGAAACCTCTGCCTCCTGGGTTCAAGTGATTCTTGTGCCTCAGCCTGCTGAGTAGCTAAGATTACAGGCATGCACCACCACGCTTGGCTAATTTTTGTATTTTTAATAGGGACAGAGTTTCACCATGTTGACCAGGCTGGTCTTGAACTCCTGATCTCAGGTGATGCACCTGCCTCAGCCTGCCAAAGTGCTGGGATTACAGGTACGAGCCACTGTGCTGGCCTGAACTATGTTCTTAATCCTGGGCACCATCTTGCAGAAATCTGTTAATATAAATTAAGTAGGGTCTTAAGCATGGGAAAATTTCTGCTCATGAAGAATTTTATCTAAAGTAGCTGTTGAATTTACTAAATGAGTTGCTGAGTCTCTTGTTATTGGAATAATAATTGTATTAGTCAGTTCTCATGTTACTATAAAGAAATACTTGAGACTAGGCCAGGTGTGGTGGCTCATGCCTGGAATCCCAGCGCTTCTGGAGGCTGGGAGGCGGGTGGATCACCTGAGATCAGGAGTTCGAGACCAGCCTGACTAACATGGCAAAGCTCCATCTCTACTAAAAATACAAAAATTAGCCTGGCATGATGGTGTGTGCCTGTAACCCCAGCTACTCAGGAGGCTGAGGCAGGAGAATTGCTTGAACCCGGGAGGTGGAGTTTGCAGTGAGCCGAGATGGTGCCATTGCACTCCAGCCTGGGTGACAGAGCAAAACTCTGTCTCAAAAAAAAAAAAAAAAAAAAAAAAAAAAAAAAAAAAAAAAAAAAACCTGATACTGGATAATTTATAAAGAAAAGAAATTTAGTTGGCTCACGGTTCTGCCAGCTGTACAGGAAGTGTAGAGGTTTCTGCTTCTGGGGAGGCCTAAGGAAACTTACAATCACGGTGGAAGGCAAAGGCAAAGCAGCATGTCTTATATGGCCAGAGCAGGAGGAAGAGAGGATGGGTCAGGGATGCCACTCAGCTTTAAACCACCGGACTGCTGGATAACTCACTCACTATCCTAAGAACAGCTCCAAGGGGATGGTGTTAAACCATTCATGAGAAACTGTCCCCGTGTCCCAATCACCTCCCACCAGGCCCCATCTCCAACACTGGGGATTACAGTTGAACATGAGATTTGGGTGGGGACACAGGTCCAAACCGTATTAATAATATTTCAGTAATAATTTGATAGGTACCTTTCACAGAAATTAGACCAAGGCCAGGCCAGGCTTTACTCATATCCCCACTTTTCATCCTCACATGGCACAGTCGGGAAGAAAATGTCAGCATCACTATTTGCAGAGGAAGAAGAGATGGCTCATGGTGACCTGGTGTGCTGGAGGTCACACAGAGCAGGGTGCAGGCTGGGCTGATGATCAGCTCTGTAATGACAGCTCAGAAAGCCTCTAACACAAATCTGACCTCATTCTGCCTCTGTAGCATCACAAGATGCTAAACCAGATGTCTAGAAATAGGGCACAGCTCTCCAGCTAGGACCTTTCTATACAGGACCTGTAGTCTCTGTAACCAAAAGGGACCCCAGGTGAGAGTCTACATGTAAAGGTTAGTGGGGCTTACATTTTGGCTCAACTCCAGAAGAAACTTTCTAAACTAGAATTGCTTGAAATGGAATCACTCCCAGCAGTGATAGCAGCTTTACACCTGTCTTCCTCCAGCTGGATCCGCTCTCCACAGATCTCATTTCCAGGTCTCCATTCTCCCATTGTCCTGAGGTCCCCAGCTGTCTCAGAGCCTCTGTATCTTGGGGTCTGAGTATTCCATAAACATTGCTGGAACCCCTCTTAGTTGTCAGGTACTGTACCAGATGCCGACCTGCAGACATGGATAAAAGAGAGTTATCCTCAGGATGGTCTACTGAGGCAGAGAGATTCATTAACACAATTTCATTATAGTCTGGTGAATCCTAAGATGTGCACTCGCTCCTATAGAAGCCCAGAGAAGGGCCCTGGGCCTAACAGGAGGATGTCTGGAAAACATGTCTTTTGAGATGAATGTCTTTTGAAGGATGAGGAGATGTAAGTCAGGCAAAGAAAGGCTGTAGTGATAGGCCTGGGGATGGTGGAGACCCCTTGCCACTCTGAGAACCAAAGAGTAGTGGCCGGATGCAGTGGCTCAAGCCTGTGATCCCAGCACTTTGGGAGGCCGAGATAGGCAGATCACCTGAGGTCAGGAATTCGAGACCAGCCTGGCCAACATAGTGAAACCCTGTCTCTACTAAAAATAAAAAAAATCAGCTTGGCGTGGTGGTGGACACCTGTAATCCCAGCTACCAGGGAAGCTGAGGCAGAAGAATCACTTGAACCTGAAAAGTGGAGGTTGTAGTGAGCCAAGATTGTGCCACTACACTCCAGCCTGGGTGACAAGAATGAGACTCAGTCTCAAAAAAAGAAAAAGAAAAAAGAACCCATGAGTATTCTTGAATCTCAGCATAGACTGCCTCCCTATTCCTCAGCTTTCCCCTTTCCCTTCTCCCTGGTGCTTTTCCCAATCTTTTCCCTGGGTATAGGAAGCCTTGGTGTTCCCCCGTTATCTGTAATTCTTACCTGTCTCCAGAAGGTCATTTATCTCTTGGCCTCCTTTTAAGACTGAGTCTCGCTCTGTCACCCAGTCTGAAGTACAGTGTCGTGATCTGGGCTCACTGCAAGCTCTGCTTCCTGGGTTCAAGCGATTCTCCTGCCTAAGTCTCCTGAGTAGTTGGGACTACAGGCGCGTGCCACCACACCTGACTAATTTTTGTATTTTTAGTTGTTCGAGATGTTGATCTCGAACTCCTGACCTCAGGTGATACATCCGCCTCAGCCTCCCAAAGGGCCGGGATTACAGGCATGAACCACTGAGCTCTGCTTTGACCTCTGTTTCATTCTAATTATGTGCTAGAGTCTAAAAGTCCATTGTAAGGCAAACTCTCAAAGATAGTAACTCGGGGAAAGTGGCGGTGGAGAAGGCTGCAGACCCAGCATCTGCAGGGCACACTGGCCTGTGCGGAGCAGAGTGGGTGAGCCGTGCGTGTGCACAGCAGGACTTGAGGCCCAGAAACCCCTGGGCTGCCTGAACACCACTTAGCTCCTCCCTGGTGGCAACCAGGTGTGTGGAAAGAGCTTCAGTGCCAGAAAGACCTGGAGTTAAATTCTGGCCCTAGTTCCTGGCTTCTTCACAGAAAGTTACTCCTTGTCTGAGTCTCGGTTTTCTTATCTGTAAAACTGGTAGGAAATTAGTGCCCTTCAGGCTTGCTCTAGGATTACAAGATGGCCCATGGAAAGGTCTACCAGGGAGGTGCTCAGTCAATGTCTCTTGTCTAGGTTTCTTTGTGTAAAAGAACTGACTAGAATAAAATACTCCAAGGCAATCAATACTTTCTCCCGAAGCATTAGAATATATTTAGAAAATTTGCACTCAAAATCTTACTTGTGGTGGCTAGGCATAATGGCTCACACCTATAATCCAGCACTTTGAGAGGCCGATGCAGGGAAATCACTTGAGGTCAGGAGTTCAAGACCAGCCTGGCCAACATGGTGAAACTCTGTCTCTACTGAAAATGTAAAAATTAGCCAGGTGTGGTGATGCATGCCTGTAATCCCAGCTACTCAGGAGACTGAGGCAGGAGAATCGCTTGAACCTGAGAGGCAGAGGTTGCAGTGAGCCAAAATTGCCCCCTGCATTCCAGCCTGGGGGAAAGTGAGACTTCATCTCAAATAATTATTTGTGGAATTATCTGTAGAAAACATAAGCCTGGAGATATTTATAGGATCAGAGAGTGAGAGGATTTAAAACTTTTTTAAATTTTAATATTTTATAGAGATGGAGTCTCACTATGTTGCCCAGGCTGGTCTCAAACTCCTGGACTCCGGTGATCCTTCCACTTTAGTCTCCCAAAGTGATGGGATTGCAGGTGAGAGACACCATCCCTGACCCAAAGAGTAGGTGGATTTTGGAGGCCACTGGACTTGAGGATTTTTTTCCAACAAATACTGGGAAAGATCATCTGAGAGATGAATATGTGCCATCATCCCACTACACCTTCTGAGGGATATTCTAAGCACCATGTATCTGACTCTGTCTCACAATCCTGATATTATTGAGAGTCCTTTCTGTTATCTTAAAGTTTCTGTGTTTCAGCATAAGTCATGCTCTCTTCTCATTGCAAGGGAGCATTGCTGTAAAATAGACGTTTTAACTACGAAACAACATCCTATTTCATCTGAAGCTCTGTCGCTGCTTCATTTGCTTGGTGTACAAGTTAGGGTACTGTATTATGTATGGAATGCTGGGCCTAGGCCAGACCTCTTCAATCACATGAGGAAGCAGGCTCAGAGAAGTCCATTACCTAGCTATGATTCTACAGCCAGTAAGGCATGAGAGCTGAGTTCGAACTCAAGTTTTTTGAGTCCTAACTCTAGAATTTTTTTCTCTTCCCTTTCACCGAAGGGATCCTTTCACTGGTCACATGTCTGGAAGTCACCCAGACCCTTTCATATGTCTCTAAGAGCCAATGTCAGTTCTTTTATCCTGTGAGTTAGAAGACCCAAGAATCCCAGTCTTCAGCCTCTTCAGAATTGCTCCTTTGGGCTGGGTGTGGTGGCTCATGCCTGTAATCCTGTTTTGAAAAGTCAAGGCCAGAGGATTGCTTGAGGTCAGGAGTTTGAGACAAGGCTGGGCAACAGAGGGAAACCCAGTCTCTTCCAAAAAATAAAAATAAATAAATAAGGATTTCTCCCATGGAAAATGACAGCAAAGCTTTTGTTTATGTGCTTTTTAGGAATAGTAAATACCACTGGTGAAGCAGGAATGTCTTTTGCAA